ACAATTTGTGTCCATCCATTTCCCCCTTGCCTTTTAACTAAAGACAGATGGAACAAGCATGATTAACTGCTGGAGCTTGCTTGCTTAAACAAGTGTTAGACTATTATTTCTAACCCTTAGCACTCTATATCTTAAAAGTACAGAACAGTTATAGAACAGAAACATTTGAAGAAAGAAAATTAGGAATTATTGGACATTCACGAAGAGTATCATCCACAACGAACCAATACATATCTCTCCAAGTCAGTAAGACACGGAAGCATAGAGTACTTTCCTACCCCACTCTTTGGCAACAGCTTCATGGAGCTCCCAAGAGCAACACTTATAACTTATATTACTCCAAACATGCAACTGTAGAATAAAAATGGTCAAGCAAAATTTGCTTTTCACCAAAGCTGCAGAGAGCTGGGGACACAACTAAAGACCTGAAGCTTCCAGGCAGACCTTGCTCACAGCACATTGTCTGCTCTTTCTGCCCTCCCTGCTCGCTCCTCTTAGTCACAACACCACAGTTAGGAATACTGCTCTGTGCCAGTTTATCAGCTATGCTTTTTGCAAACCAAAAGATTACCGTTTTCGCACTACAAGGCAAAGTCTTCTCAGCAGCAGAAAAGCAATTAGAAAGTTTCCAGAGCCATGGTTTAGCATCATTCTCTTGTCGCTGAAGCCATCCAAAAGATCTATTACAGAGGTTCTCTGTCCTGTTTCCTTCCATCATACAGCCAAGCAAAACGGTTCAACATTCTTCCATCCCTCCTTCCTTTCATTCTTTCCACCTGCTAAAGAAAAAAAAAAAACCCAAACATTTTACTTCAGGTTAAGGAAGACAAGATCACAGTGGTCTTATGAATTCCGCTACATTACACTCCTGCATTATTTATCGCACATTTAATTATGCATGGGCCATAGCCTTGACTATTCATGTCTATTACAGAAATACACCTCATGATTTGCCATATAGGTAATGGAATCTAAAGAAAGGCTTGTTTAAGCCCAAGGCATTACCTATAAAATCCCAGAAATGCATTGCTGTTGACATAAAACAACTCCCAGAAACTTCCAGGGCACTTTCCCAGAAAGAGAAGCCAAGGGGTAAGTTTTCAAGACCAGCTCACTGATTACAAACCAGATGAAAGTGATCTCAGCTAGAAGATTCAGCCTCCATATTCATTGTTGTTTCACTCAAAGAGCTACATACACTTGCATTAAGCACACAGCATTCAATAATACAACCTGAGTTTTTAAATCATAAAGATCTACAGGCACTCCTTTCAGTTCCCAGGCAGTTCCATAGTCCCACTGCATCAGCTCAGCTTTATGGAACCACAAGTCGAAATGATGCCCCACCAGAACAACCTACAATTAGAAATGAAGGCTCCATACCTTTTAACTATGGGCCACATTGATTAAACTACAGCTACGTGGTCTTTCACATTTAACATTCACCACAAACCTCAAGGACTACACCCCATAACACCGACTTTGTCCCAACGTTATTTTTAACCACAAAAACAATTTTTTTTCTTCAAAAAAAAAAAAAAACAAACAAATCAGAAGTGTTTATTCATACAATCCGTAAACACTTCAACATAATGCGAGATATTAAGTTAAAAACTTCCAGAACTCTCGAGTAGGCCACTTTTGAAGTCTGATAATACCCAACAGAGCCGTTCCGCTTACGAATTAGAACGATTAAATACAATAAATCAACAGACAGGAGGCAGGCGAGCCCCCCGCGGCCGCGCCTCGCCTTCGAGACCCGCAGCTCTCGGCAGCCCCCAGCCCAGGGGGCGACACCGAGCCCCGGCCGCTGCCCGCTCCCAGGAGGAAGGCGCAGCCCGCGACACTACTGGGCAAACGGCCGCAACTCCCGCGGGCAGTTCTGTGCCGGGGCCGTTTGGCAGCTCCCCCAGTGGAGGCGGCCGCAACTCACGAAGGAAGCGGGCCCCGGCAGCCCCGGGCCGCAGCGTTCCGCACGGCCGTCCCCACCGGGGGAGCGGCCTCCCGAGCGCGCGAGACCGGCACGGCCCGTCCGCTAAGCCGCCCCTTCCAGAGACCCCCGCCTCACCTCAGCCGCCCCCGGCGCCGCCGCCCCTCACATTCCGCCGCCCTCACACCCCTTTGTTGTCCTCCCTCCCCCCGCCGCTGTTCCTTCCGCCGTCAAGCGCCGCCGAACGCCGGAAAGCAGCCCGCTGTCGCGCAGACGACTGCCGTAACACTACACTCCCCCCTCCTCCCCGCCGGGCTGGGGGCGGCGGCTTTTACACGGCGCGGTGCGGCGCGCGGAGAAGGCGGGGCGAGGCGGGGCTGCGGAGCGGGGGTAGCGGAGTTACCGGAATTACCTCACGGCGCGGCTGTTTGCCTACAAGACCGGGACAGAAGTATGGTGTCAGTTTGCGTAGCCGGGACTTGTTTCTTGGGAGCCGAGCCTCTTCTGGAGGCGAGGGGAGTTACAGGGTGCGGGCTTTCTCACGTGGCGCTGTCTTTCGGTGTAAGTGACACTGTGATATTTGGCTAAGTCCTCGTTTTACCTTCGCTCTTAGTGGGTTGCAGCCGCCAGCAAAGCTCAGAGTGACAGTACTCGTATCCAAATCCAGTTTTTCTCACTTCTCACTTTTTCCAGTTTTTTTTTCACTTTGTCAGTTTGTTCAAGGTTTCAAAGGGGTTTTAAAGTCACGAGAATCTCTTCCTTTCTTAAGCAGACACAAATCCAGTTTTAGAGACTGCAGAGAATTGTGGACCGTCTTTACACACGCAGAATTAGCTTTCGCTGATGTTAAGTGCTTCCTTTTAGTTTGTATGTGGAGTTCTACTATGTTGCATCTTGTAACAAGTTCCAGTAATTCTCAAAAACATCAGCATTTGTGATGACTGCTGGTGATCAGATCATGTTCCAGCCATAAAGCTCATGGTTCTGTGTTCAGTTACTCAGTGTTTGCAGCAAAGCCAACTTCCTCCTATAAATACAGTTTATTGTTGTGCATTGCATTGTGGATAGCAATAAGCTACACAGCAGTACGGTGCTGTGATTAGATCTGTGGTCTGTTGTGTTCATTATCCATTTGATTTCCTTAAAGTCCTCCCTTTTAGCTAGCAAGCTTTAAATTTATCATCAATAACCAATTCTTGTGGCAACCTGCTGCAGAATAACTGCCAACATCACTGTGTTGTCCAGTGTCATTCATCAACGATTTAAGTTGTCTGTTGATTTCACTCCATTTAAATGTATCTGTTAAGATCTTGCACCACGGGGTTGGATTTTGGAAATACTAAGCATTGTGGTTAAGCTTCACCATCCCAGCGGTGGTATCGCAGAGCCTGGCTGCCATATCTTCACTCCGTTCCACCCTTCGTGCTGCTTCTCCTAGAGTCAGCACATCAAGCTCCACTGATGTTGTCAACACCTGAGGTTGCCTAGGGATCTTCTTGGGTTCCTTGCATTACAGCTGCACTTTGCTTTAGCACCTTTCTTTAATGTGTGCACAATGCTTTACTTTTGTAAACTTGTTACTTTAAGTTTGATTTCCAAGTCACCTTTAGCAATTATTCCACAATAATTAAAGAACCTTTCTGTTAATATTTACTGCTTGTGTACAGCAGCACCTCTGAGCCTCTGGTGTCTCATAGCATCTGCTATGCTGTTTTGGAACCAGATGAGAGCCTAAACAGATTCCTCTGAAATCTCAGAAATTTTTCTATACACCAGCATTTCAGGGTGAGAACTATTAAAAATGTTTGGGTATACTTTTGATATCATCTGTGCACTCACACTATCCTCAAAGAAAGAATTGAAATAAAACATTATTTGTCCCTAACTTTCAAACAGTGTATGAATTTTCGAATTGTTGGGGACATAGTATGATGGCACATGATTTACTTTCTGTAACTTAGCCATTGAAAACATTCTTGAGCAATGACAACTGCAAACTGCTGTTAAATGATTTGTTAAATACTTAATTTAGTTGCCTAGTAATAGTTGTATAATAATTTGTCTCCATTTACTTCTGTTGAATGTCTGACCTCAAAATACAATCAATTTGCTGAATATCTGACCTGAAAGTATAATTGCTTTGCTCACCATTTTCAACTGCATGGGTTTCTCCTATGATAACATTCTGCCAGAAAAGCATCCATCGTTGGGTTACATCTCAGTTCCCTGCAGCGGTAAGGGCAAGGTGCAGCCAGCTTTGCAGAGTCAGGCTCCGCTCCAGGCCGAGTGTTGCCTTGCTGAAGTAATGAGGTGGGATCAAGGCACTGTGCATGGGCGCCCATGCTCTGGCAGTTAGCACAGTGTGCTGTGCGGTGTGCAGAGATGTGTGGGTCGGAGCCTATCCGTACACACGCGTGCTTTGGTTTTGACTCAGGAAACAAACACCGGGCACACCCAGAGACTGGTGTTTGTGGGCTGCTGAGTAGGAACGCAGCTGGGGCACTTGGGAAAGCTCCGCATGGCTCAGCGCTGGAATGGAGCAGGGCAGGGCTGGCGCGGAGTTCCCTGGTTTCGCTCAGCCCGCTGTTGGCCTGGCTCCCACTGCGGTGCCCTGGGCCTGTGAGCGCTGAGCTCACGGCGCAGTGCACCTGAGGCGGTGTAATATTTCACAGAGCGCTGTGTCCTTGCGATGCTGGCTGCAGTGTCTGGGGCTCGTTCCTGGCTCATAAAAACGGATGTAATGGAGGAACGCTGCTTTTTCGGAAGAACGTTTTTCGGAATCACAAAGCAACCCTAGATGCGAAGCTTCTCCTCTTTTAGAGCATTTCTAGGGAAAACCGACAAACGTTTGAAATGACAGCAGCGTGGAAGGGCGGTAGATGCCGCCCCAGCCGGAAGGCGCGGCTGTCGCGGGAGGGGCGCGGCGGGGCCGGGTGCCGCGGGGCGGGATCAGCCCGGGCCCTGTTTGAAAATAACGAAAAGTTCCCAAATGCTGCTCGAGCCGCTGATTGGCGGAGCGACGCGGGGCACGTGACCAGCAGCCAATGGGGCGGCGGAGGCGGCTGGCCGGTGGCGCTGTGAGAGCGCAGTGTACCTCTGCGTAGGGTTCGGCGGTGGCTGTGACGGGCCGTTGCGGTGCGGGTGGAGTGGGGTGCGCTGCGCGTGAGGTGAGAGCGGTCTGGGGGCGGCGGTCGGGCGCAGGCTGTCCTGGGGCGGATTCCTGCGGGAAAGGGGCGGCCGTGGGAGGCAGGAGTGGTACCTTGCCTCCCCTCGGTCCCCTTGCGCTGGGCTCCGTCGCTACGCTTCGGCGGTCCCCGCTGTGAGGGAAGTGTGGGAGCGCAGCTCGCCGGCTCGGCTCCGCGCCACTTCCGTGCTCTGAATGGAACGGGGAGCCCTGGGACTGCGGTTGCCGGCACCGAGGTCTCCGGACCTGGAGAGAACTTCCGAGTGTCCTTGGGAATCGGGCACGCGTTGGAGATGGAGCGAAGCGGAGCTGCGGTGGAGCGGCGCGGCTCCCGGCCCGAGGGAGACCTGAGCTCGTTATCCCTCGCGCTGGTTCTCTTTCGTACTACTTGAACAAAAGGAGAGGGGGCCGTGCCGCACGAGACCCTCGGCGCGATGGGAAAGCTGCTTTCCAGGAGCAACTGGCTGACTTAGATTCTTTGAGCTTCTCTGCCGTGTAGTGCTTACGATGGTGTTTTAGTCCTGCCTTTGCTTAGTCTTTCTTCTCTCTTTTATTTCTCATTAAAGTAGAATATGCTCTGACTCTGGCAGTCGGGCAGAGCTATACAGATGGCCAACGTCATTCACAGAGTTAAAATGTTCCCTTATCAGAAAAGTTATTTGATATGCAAGGATTTTTTGGAGTTCCTTATTCTGGGACTGAAACAGATTTTAAGCTGAGGTCCCTGTGATCTTAGGGCTCTGATTCCCAAACGGAAGGTTCTTCAGTAATTTTAGTTGTGTGACTTTTTTTTTTTTCTCTAAGAAATACGCACTTCTGATGTCACCTATGTGAAATAACTTCCTGGAACGATTATGCTGAAGTGTTTTTCTCATTGTAAAACTCCATTCCCCACCCCTGAACACTTCCACTTCCTGTATGATGTAGAGGTTTTGTAATGTCTGTGACCAGCACTTGTGCTGCTTGCATGCAGGAAGTCTGGCATCCCAGATGTCTTTTCTGGCTTTGTGAAAACAAGTAAGGTGCAGCCAGCAAGTGTATGCTGGAGCCTGTGACTTTCTCTTCTTGTGTTTTTTTTTTTTTTTTTTTTTTTTTCCTCCATTTACCTGTCTCTAACGGAATATTAGTAACACTTTCTTCATGCAGGCACACATTCTTCCCTTTTTGTAGTGAGTCTGTGCAGTGAAAAGTTCCTAATTGGTTTTATTAATTACTTTCCAGTCAGTTTACATGCTGACTTTAAGCTGTTAAAAATCAAGTAGAGAGGATAGTGGTAGATGGGAATCAAGGCCATACCTTTTCTGATAGCTCTTTAGGAGAGATTTATGATTTTTTTTTTTTCCTGTTTTATAGGGGAGCTTTAGTACCTTGCCCCAAACTTAGATTTCTCAGTTTGTATCTTTCATCTCTGATAAACTTGAAAATGCCTCTGAGGTAGGATACAGTGCAGGTGTACAGAGAGAAAACCTGATGGTGGTGGAACAATCTCTGCCTTGTTGTGTCCTCTCTGTAGAATAAGTATAGGTCTACCAGTCTTTCCTATGTTTACAATTTAACGACCAATTTTAACTTGTAAATAGTCTTTAGTAATTGTAGCCATGGAACAATATATTCTTAATGGCTGACATTGTGAGGGTGTCCCTAATCTTTTTTTTTTTTTTTTTAACAAGGGCACACTTACAAGGATGCTGTGCACATCAATTGCTACTTCTCTGAAAATTACTGGGTTCTGTGTACCTTCTGTAATGTTCATAGCTCAGTTAAAATCCTTTTGTTTGTGATGTGTTATAAGATGCAGATTAGTGCATTCTCTTGCTTTTTCCAAAGTGCAGTGTTATAACCTGAGAGCCAAATACAAGCCAACAGTAACTGTCTCTTGATTGCAGGCCTTTTGGTTCCAAAGCTTTCAGGAGTAAATGTTACACTTCTTCACCTTGTCTGATTTCTTTCTGTTGACACAGGTAATGGTTTTATTATTATGCTTACATAAGTCAGAAGGAATCCTTTATTGGGACTTCTGAAAGATTTTTGTTTATGTAACAAAGTTAGGGATATCCTGGGTGGATTCTCTTCTTTTTAAATCAAGAAATTTCCTTTGTAGGAATGGAGACAATTAAGCATCCAAAAGGATCTCAGACTTGTTCTTTTATGTAGCGATTTGACCACAGCAATGGAAACCAGTCCTTCTTGATTTCTCACTGCACCTACATCACTTCTTTTTGTCTGACTTTACCTCCTGTCCTTCACTGTTAGAAAAGAATATCTTCTTCACACATCATTTGCTATGTCTGGTGAGTGTCTGTGGTGCCTTATATGTTAGATGCTTGTTAATGTCAGAAGTACTCTTTAGCTCACTTAAAAATAGAACAGATGTATAGTGAACTGCCCTATGTAAGGAATGTTAATTGTGCTTGGTTTGAATTTTCTTCATAAAAGACAAGGATACTCTTTGGAAAATCCCTCCTTATACACACTCATTTTCCTCTTCTTTTTTCCCCTCTGCAGCATGTACTTCTGAAAATATGTAGAACTAGCAGCAACCTTGAGACTTTTTGCTGGAAAGCTCTTCATTTGTTAGTAAGAAGAGATTTAGGTTTGTCTAACCAATGCTAAGAAATGGGGTTTTAAAACTAAAATTCGATAACTTCTCACCTTTAGCTCCCAATCTAAATAGTGTGATATCTATGAGATTGGAGCTGGTGCTGTGCATCAACGTGTTTGGACCCAGCCCACTTATCTGTGACATCCGCTTTTTGTTCATTAACCTCCTGAAAAAATCACAAGCTGTGAAAACAACTTGTGCTTTCCTTCTGCTTGGATATGTAGGAATTGGATTTGGAATTGGAACCAGACTGCTTTAAATATTGAAGCTGTCCTCTGCAGTAGAGGCAAGTACATGTTTGTCCTGGGAAAGGCACCAAATAATTGAGAGCCTAAACCAGGTGGTTTTACAGAGAAGAAAGTGTGAATATAGGTTATGATTTTTTTTTTTTTTTCCATAAGTGTAGAATTAGCTGGAAGAACTGTTTCCTCTATCCTTAAATTTCAGTGATACAGTTCAGACAGCTGCCATTGGCATGAACTGACCGACTCCCTGTCCTTAATCTGTTGAGGTTTCCATTAAGTTTGTAATGCTAATGGAATCTTTGCCTCACTTAGGGTTGCCCATGGGAGATTATCCAGAGCTTTAGGACTGATATTTCTCCCTTGTCAGGACTACCTCATATAAAAAGGTGGTACCTATAAACAGGTAACTTGTTAGTTACCTGTTTGTTAGAGTGCAGTATGCACACTGAAGGCATGAAGGCATTTCATTATAGTATCTACTTAAGTCTTCAAGCAGGAGTTACCAACTTAAGGTGCTTGATTTCCACATGGCTCTTGTATGTGTCATTTGTTTTTGGGACTATGACATGTGCCTGTGCTTATGCTTGCACAAGGACTGCTGGCTGGTCTGGATTGCTCACTGGGTTGCTGCAATCTATCTGCACATCTAGTCTAACCAGATGCTATCCCACTGGAACTTCTGTGGAGCTCTTATCTTTGCCCTAGGAATTTCTGGAATTTCCTTCTCCCATGGCTCTCTGAGGTATCCAGATATGTTGTGCCCATCAACCATATCTGGACTGTGATAGTTCAGGTTTTAAGTGGTTTTATCTACTGTAGTGAGAATTTTTTTTCTCTTATTTAGCAAGTATGTCCATAAAAAGCTTAGGTGCTCATGCAGGTGTTAACAGAGGAAGCTAGAATCCTGAGTACGTTCTTTGTGTCTCTGAAGTTTTTCATTCAGTGTTTCTCTAGGGCTGTTGAAATCAGAGTTAATTTGGAGGTGTGTCTGGGATATCCTCTTTCTCACCTGTGTTCTGTGTGCTTCTACACAGCTGTAGCTGAAGTGTGACATTTGACCCTCTGTGCTATGTTGACTACAGCAAGCATCTTCCCTCTGACAATGTGATGTGCAGTAGCCTTGGGAAACCTGGTGAAAAGAATGTGGTGATTCAGTAGCGATTATCGTGTTTTTATTATATCCAGCAGAGTGCTGTTGAGGCTGGTCTTTAGTTTGGTCTCCAGATATGCACCTCCTTCGTGGGAGGAGCGGTGCACCACTATACAATGAAAAATAGAGTTAATTCACTGCGTTAGTTCTTAATGCTTGATCCTTTAATTTTCCAGGGCAAAATATGAAACAGGAGTTTTAAACTCTGCGGACTTGCCATGGAAGACTCAGAAGAACATCGCTTCAGCTCCGTTGAAGAGGAAACCAGATACTGGAAAGAGTTGGCTATGAAATACAAGCAATGGTAAGGCAGTGGTTTCATTCCTTGAAGCTGTTTGATAGGATGTATAAGCAGTGCATGCCAAGACAAATAGCTGAACTACCTTGATTTTACCTCCCTGTGTGGCGCTATGTTGAGTGGCAGCAGTAGCAATGCAGTACCACAGGTTTCAGCATAGACTGCATCAGCCCAGAATCCTTCGTGCTTATTTGAGCTACTAATTCACTATTAGTGCTGCCATGACATTGCTGCTTTTGATCCCTTCTCTGGTTTTGAGTAGGACTGTGTGTTGGAGAGGGGCATAGAGCTTTCTGTGCTAGCAAGTAGTATTTTCTTCCTCTCCAAAATCCAGAAATTGTTTTGATTCATTAAGGTGAGTTCTGTTGCTGGAACTGTGTTCTAGTGCTGAGAATACACAGGAGGAACTGCGAGAATTCCAAGAAGGGAGCCGAGAATATGAAGCTGAACTAGAAACTCAATTGCAGCAAACAGAGTCCAGAAACAGAGACCTTCTTTCAGAAAACAATCATTTGCGAATGGAACTGGAGTCCGTTAAGGTAAGAGAGGATGATACAGTAGCTATGTATCCTAAGCGTGAAGGTGAATGAGACTGATGTGTGCAGATTCAGCTTGGAAAAATTGAGAAACAACCATCTGTAATCTGCTTGAAAGAGTTCTAAATACTTCAGTGTCTCAGCTAATGTTTCTGGAAATCTAATTCCAGAAAGATGTTCTGTTCCCCTGCCCCAACGTAGTGATTTCCACACCCCTTCCCCCCTACAATCCTTTTGGCATTAAAAGCTCTGTGCCTTACTTAACTGCATTTGTTCTGTCACTCTGGTGACAGACTGGTGTTCTTGCTCTATTAGTGGCATAGCAATATTAAATGCTCTGCTTATTGTATGGAGTGTTGGCCTGTTCTTTTCCCCACAGTCACGTAAATCCATAGAAGCTGATTAGTGAGGAGAAGTTCAACAGAAACTTGCAGTTCATTTGGTTAAGGAGAGAATAGATTGCTTTCTTCTGTTGTAAGAGCTGAGAGAAAAGGGCAATGAATGAACTGAAGCAGTCGGGAGTGGAAATAGTAGGAACTGGCATAAAACTTCTAAAAAGTGGAGAGTAAATGTTTCAGAAAACCTTGTTTAATTTTCACAGTGGATAAGTTTATAAAAACATATTCTGCTTGAAATGAGCATTTTAACAATTGGTTATTCATGCAGCCTGAAGATTGCAGTAACAGCCTGCAGTGAAGGAATAGAGGCTCTATTGATGGTCAGGTCAGCTGATGGTTTATTACAATTGGCTGAAAACAAAGGCTCAAACCTTGCAGTTCTGGTCTTTTATCTGAACCAATCCAAGAGCGAAGCATTAAACTCATGAAGCTATTGAGCAGTGATGTTAACCGAACCCATCAAGGATTGGTGTCTACATCTAGGTTAACACAAGTGAACTTGTACAAGTTGTAGCTTTGAATTTACCGGCTTGATGTGTGTTCTTGCTACTCCTTAGAAGCTGGAGTTCCTTAAGTATAAATGGAAATAATACTTTTGAGGACTTATTTAGAGCGTTGAAAAGCTAGCTGAAAGTAATCTGCTTCTTAGAGAGCTTGTGGGGGCTCTTAAAGCCAAAGTGCACCTGTGCTTTCAGGGATCAGGAATTATGACAACATGTCACCACACTTAACTAAGTAGAAATTAATAAATTCAGAATTGTTTCTCTTCCTTCCTCCTTATCTCTGTGTTATATGCACTAAAGCAGCTCTCTTCAGATTATCAGTTATGATAGACTATATGCCGTGGTTTTCAAGTTCCAGTGTGTGGATTTGTTTTTGGTGACTTCAAGTGTGTTAAATTCTAAACAGAGAAGAATGTCAGGAATGCTACTTATCTAGCAGTCTTGGAGCTTTAAAGTCTCTGGCATGTTGAAGTCATCCAGTAGCAAGGTGGTGGAGTGTATGCTTTTGTTGTCACCTGATGTCTGGAAGTGATAACTAGAGAGAGGTTTGTGCTGGTGAAGTTAACCTTCTTCCCCATTGGTGTCTTTTCTAAATATGTGCCTTATGTGCATGCTGTAAAGGAAGACAGTTTGTTCTAGGTTCATGTCTGAAGCTTATTGTATAGCTGCACCTGAAATGTTTTATAATCAAGACCTTTGAACCTACTTTGGGTTAATAAAACCTCAGCAGTAGTGAAGAATCCTGCTGGTTCCTTTAATACTATGTAAGCGTTGCACTTGGGTGTTCTTTTTCTTGATGCTTAGTTCCCTAAGTATTTCTTACTTATTCTCAATTCTAAGAAAGAATTATCTTCTTTCTCACATTCTGCTTAATGAATTTCTGGAGCTCCCAAGGCTCAGAAATTAGTCTTGTGCTGACATCCTGGAGTGAAGTGTACATGTTCATCCCATTCTACAGAATCAGGTAGATGGCAGGCTTACAGCCTTTTGCAGATAATTCCACTCTGGCCAGTGTATTTGCCTCACAGGTCCCATAGATCCTTTTTGTGGTGTTACTTGATGTTATTGCTCAAGGAGGTGCTAATTCTTGGGCCTCTGTGTTGTAGTTGTCACCTGCCTCTCAAAACAGCAAGGCCCTTCTGGCTGTCCCTTTTCTTAAACAAAACAAACAAAAAAACTTTCAGATTGCAGGATGCTGTGTGATACGGGAGCTTTGTATCCTTTGCCTGTTGAGATACCTACAGTACTGGGCAGGACCCAGGCATGCTGGTGTAATTTCCCACTCAAAAACAAGACAAAAAACAAGTAAACCAACAAGCTGTTGTTTAAGCCTTTTTCTCAGAAAAAGGTAGAGGTTGTCTGCATGTAAGATTATGATTCGTTGTGAATGGAGGAGAGATGGGGAAGTGCAAGAGAGAGCTGTCTGGGAGAGCAGGGAACTGTTCCATGCTGTGGATGTCAGGAACTGTTCCCCAGCACTATCATTTGATAAAGAGTTATAAGAACTCTTGTCTATTGGCAGCCCAGAAATATGCGAGCAATTGGCTTTGTTGATATTTTACTGTGTGTAAGCTCATTGTTCTCTAAGTACCTCACAGGATCTTTTTTTTGCCTTTAAAGGGACTAAGGCAATACCAAGTCCCTGATAGGCTGTTTTATTTGTCCTTGACTAGGAAAAGTTTGAAATGCAGAATTCAGAATGGTACAGGCAAATCTCTGCACTGGAAGATGACTTGGCACAGACAAAATCTATTAAAGATCAACTTCAGAAATACATTCGAGAGCTTGAGCAAGCAAATGATGACTTGGAAAGAACAAAAAGGTGACCAGTCTTCTATGTTCTCTTCTATCACCTCAGTTCTGTCCTGCAAATATGGTGACTCTAAGTAATCTGTAATGTTGGGCTTTTTAGCACTGCCACTCTGAACTAACCTGAGCTAAATACTTACCTTGTTGATTGTTGTGATGAAGGTATTCAAGAAAAATTATGAATGAGATTTTTTTCCCTTCTGTTACTCCAACTGCACTATTTCATATTCAATAAAAAGCTAAAATTAAAACAAAAAATAATCCTAACCCAAAAGATTTTACCTTCTCTTGTGGGAGAGGGAGTTTCTGTACTCCTGGTAATAAAATCTTGTGTATTGTCTTTCAGAGCTGCTATAATGTCTCTTGAGGATTTTGAGCAGCGTCTAAACCAGGCTATTGAAAGAAATGCTTTTCTGGAGAGTGAACTGGATGAAAAAGAAAACCTTCTGGAGTCCATGCAACGTCTGAAAGATGAAGCTAGAGGTGAGACAGCAGATCCCCTGTTCTCCCCTCCTGTACTTGTTCAGTCCAATCTGTTGATCTTAGTTTGACTTTCATATTTGTGTCTTTTAAATCTGCCATCTGAAATGCTGAAGCTTCATGCCCCACCATGCTTCTGTCTGCCTCAGTCCTTGAACTTGGTATAGAGGAGTTTACAGGTGCTAGAGTCTGTTTTAGACTTCTAAACTGTAGGAGCGCTTTGGGATCTTGAGGTGTTAAGAAGAGCCAGCCCTGCTAGGGCATGTGCTTTCTGATTTCCTGTAACCTGTGAAGGTCCTCTTTAGCAACCATTAACCTCTGTTGTTTCCTGGCCTGTGAAAAGAGTAGTCAGTGAAACACTGATAGAATGGTAAAGCAGTTGGGCTGTGACTGGCTTTCAGTTAGCTTTGACAGTTAGCCTTGTGTGTTAGTTCCTCAACACGTCGGTAAGACTGGATGAGAAAATGGAGGAGGCTGCACAGATGTGGAGCTGAAGAAACACTTCCAACTCTGCTCAGATTCTGTGACCTTGAGTGGTTCACACTAGCTACAGTCAGTCTATGGGACAGGAGTTCTCTGTTGCTGGGCTGGATGGTGATGGTTTCCACTTGGCCATAGCCTATGCTTCCTTGATATAGAAGGAGGGAAAACAGTGCAGTACGTAGGAATCTCAGCCTGGTAGGGAACTGGGATGGGGTGTAGCCAAGATACTTCAAGTTGCAGAACTTCAGTCTTGATGTGCCTCCACTTACTAGTCTGTAACATCTGAAAGTATTAATTCACTGCCTCAAAGAAAGTCATGTGAAAGGGTACGAAGCTTAAATCAGGATAACAGCAAATGAACTAAATACTATAAAAACAACTTGAGCTGCAATCCCAGAGAAGCTTTAAGTATTCATCCATATTTTGAGTGTATGCCTGGAGTGGTCTTTACAAGGATAAATGATTTTGTTCTGCTGGTAGAGGTGAAGTATCTTATAAGCAAAATAAACTCTCTCAAATGCTTTTTATCTTAGTGCATAATGATTCTAAAGACTTGCTGCTTCCCTCACAGATCTACGGCAAGAACTTGCAGTACAGCAGAAACAGGAGAAACCCAAAACACCAATGCAAACAAGCCTGGAAACAGAAAGAACAGACACTGCAGTTCAAGCATCCTTATCTTTGCCTTCAACTCCCTCCGTGCACCGAGCACCCAACATCAGCATACCCACCCCTGCGACATTTAGGAGAGGTGTGTGACAGAGAACGAGCACAGCAAAGCAATGTCATACCCTTGTTTTCACCACAGATTCTGGCTACGTGAGAAATGGGAAAATAGGAGCACAGCTGAGTGTTTCAGTAAAATCCACTTAAATCCAATCACCGCGATCTCAGTATTCACTGACTGCAAGTTTGGGGCCTTATTCATAGGCTGCTAGTTTCCATTTGATGTGGATTGTCCAGTAATAATGATTGTAAGGGACTAGGTGAGCTAGTAGGACTTGATTATTTGTTCCCAACTGTTTCGGAGATGCGGGGCTAATTCAGGGAAGAGTTTAGAAACTTTGCATGATCTTTTATGTTACATTTCTTGAAAAGGCTTCTCTGTGAGGGTAGATGCTTAGAGAGAAGTCTTCCTTTTACTCTGGAACAGCAGTACACTGGCAAGTCATCCTAGCTAGCTGTACTAAATTACTATCTCTGCTTTTGTGCTAATAGAATCAGTTACTGAAATAATCAATGCTCATTAAAAATAAAAATTCTGACCTTCTAACACTGACTCCTATCTCTTCAGTACTTAAAAAGTCAGAAATTTGTGTTAGCTGTGTATCAGAGATTACAACAAGGAGATGTACTGTCACATGCTGGTGACTGAATATTACAGTTAAGCACAAACAAAGATTGATTGTAGGCTTTGGTGCTCTTAACCTAATTTGGTAGGGGAGAGCTCTCAAAAAAGATTGAAAAGAGATTGAAAAAAGAGTGGAAGATTTATTGTAAAATGAGATGATGGCCCTCTCTGAGAACGCACTTTTGGTTCTGCCACAGTAATAGAGATGCAGAGCAGGCTGGTAAAACAAATAGCTAGAAATTTAAACTATGGCTTGTTTATAGACTTCAGTTTAGGACTTAGTAACTTGAGCTATCTCAGGGAGTCAGTGCTTCGTATTTCTAGTGGACGTGAAGGGTTTGAAGGTCAGATACAGAAAGGTGAAGGTACTAATGTTTCATCTGCTCTACATGCCAGGCAGTCTTCTGATCTTGTCAAAGTGGGTTTTCTGTTTGTTTCTCTGTTTTTAAACAATGGGTAATGTATTTAACCTGCCCTGTAGGTTTTGAGGACAGTTACTGTGCAACCCCCCTCACACCTGCTGCCAGAATATCTGCACTTAACATCATGGGAGACTTGCTGCGAAAAGTAGGGGTAAGTGTTTACCTGATAGCCAAAGTTCTTGGAAAGAAAGAGCTGTCTGAACATGTAGCCAGGATTGAATATCTGCACTGCTGCTCGGACAAGACTGGAAAGCCCATCTCAGCAAGCAAGTTAGCTAAGTGCGGCCTTGAAATTTGGCTTTGATTCTGTACACTTCTGAACAGCTCTGAAACAAAGACCCATCTCTGCTTTTCTGAGATCTTCTACATGTGTGGAGTCCTGATCTCTCTTCCTCTCCACACTTCTGAAAGAGTATGTGCAGAAAAAGACAGACTGGCATGAGTAAATGATGAGGGAATCTGTTCTGTTGGAGGGCAGAGAAGAAAGCAGGCTGATGCCTGCTGTCCAGTGGCTTCTGATAAAGTTTTCAATAATACTCCAGTTGTTGTTTTAAGTAGGACCTAATGGCTTGATGAACTAATGACATTTAAAATAGTGCTGATGCTGGAAAGTTATCACATAACTTCCTCCTACCTTTTCCCCCATGCTCCAGTTCTTCTTGTGTTGGCACAAGTATTTGTATGACTTGACAGGCTGACTTGTGGAATACAGCAGGAAGTTATCTTAGCGGTGAAGGTGGAACCATTTAGGAAAGGAGCCTGTGGTAGAGAATAGGGTATCTGTGGTACCACCCAATACAGCCTGATGTAAGTTTAGGGAAATAGATAGTTCAAGGTAGTATACAGCACTGGTGTCAAGAATCTGCAGGTTCCTCTACTAGATGACTTGTTTTAAAACAAACTAAAAATTGCACACTTGCTTTTTTCTGCACACTGTGCAATTTTTGTGTCAAAATTACATCTTGTGACGTTGTACATTACCTATCTTTACCTCAGGCTTTGGAGTCCAAACTTGCCTCCTGCCGAAACTTTGTGTATGACCAGTCTCCAGACAGAACCACAGTGTCCATGTACATGAACAGAGATGTCCTTGAAACACGCATGAGTCCTCATCAGCCTCTGTGTGATACAGGGTTAGTGCCATTCTAAGCTTTTTGCCTTAGTGAGAACTTTCTGACTGGTAATGTTTGTTTCTTGTTTGTTCTTTATTTTGGTAGAGTCAGACCTGTTTCTGAAAGGAAGGAAACTTAGTTATTCAAGATTGATTTCCATGTTTCAGACCAGATTAAAAATTGTAATCTCTGCTGCTGAAATCTGAAGACTAGCTGTGGTCAAGATCAAATTCAAAGCAATCGTAACACTTTATAGTAAAATAAGTGTTTAAATGTGAGCAAGTACAGCAGAGGAAGCTCATGCTTATTGGCTTTGTTTGATTTATGCTTTGTTCTTGTGCAGTGATGAATCAGCAATCAGCAAAATTTTGGCATATGGGGACTTCCCTTATCATAGTTAGGATTTTTATCCACATGAGAACTGGAGGAATGGGGGGAAGTAGATAATGAATCGACTCATTTGAATTCTTTATAGTTGCTAAGATGTATTTCCAGGGAGCAGCTGACAAAAGCTATTACCTAATGAGCTGGTTATCTCTTTCCTCCCATTCCCAACACATGGGAAATGTATAAGTTTATTGCAAATTAGAGTTCAATATATAAGCCATGCCAATCCTGTACTGGATGGTTGTTTTTGTTTTGTTTTGTTTTTCCCAAGTTTTCTCAGTATTTATAGTACATGTTAATGCAGATGCAACTATTCAGCCAGACCCTTGATCTGGGAATACTCGTTTGTCCTGTTAATTGGTGCCCAAAGTTGTCATGTGGAAAGAATGTTCCATGTAGTACTTACTATTGCAGCCTGGGGAGAAACCTACAAGAAAGCCTCAAGGGCCATACAATTGTGAATTCCTATAAGAAATTACACATCTATTACTGAAACATAAGAACTGAAATTCTAACTCCTGTAAAATCTGGTCTGTCACTACTCAGAGAGAAATGGAACCTTGTTTTACAGCAGAGAACTTAGCCTAGTTAAGTAACAGATTCACTTGATATTCAGGCCATTGTTTTGTTTGTTTGTTTGTTTTTAATCTGTTGGCTTCTCTGGCTTAGTGTTGCATTCTTGTAAATGACTAGTTACTGTGACTGAGATGGTAAAACTGAGCAAGAAATGCTCTAAATTCTGCTTTGTATTTGCAGGTTAGTGAAACGCCTGGAGTTTGGAACAAGACCTTCAAATATTCCAGGACCAATGAGTCATCCTTCACAAAGTGTTGTTAAAATGCTGCTATGAAAAGGAAAAATGAAATCTTATGTACATACAATATGAATATCAATAGGCAACCAGACAGAAGTGTAAGAGTAGGTGAGCCCTGAAAAAGAAGCTACTACTGGTAATGGCATCTTACGGCTTTGCCCTTCTGGCTTTTATGCTGTGTTGTGTGGGTAGTGTGATGAAGCAATGTTGCCTAGCAGCACAGGACATAAAATTGCTTCCTATATTCATTGCTGTGAATAACTCCTGCTTTGACACTGCCAGTTAAAGCTCTTGTCCCTTCACCTACATCAGGTTCCTAGTGCAACTCTAGGTTTTGGCTTTTGCAGTTAATAAAATCACCCATGATGTTCTGGCTTTCTGGTGCTGTCACCAAAGTTAGGGGAGTGGTTATAGGTAGAGATAGGTGTATTTCTGTGGAGAAACTGCTCAGTTCTTTGTAGGTTGCTTGCTGGCCAGAATCTCGCTATGTGAAATTCTGTCTGGTGGTGAAGCTTTGTAAGCAATGATTTACTTTAAAGAGCAGATAACAGTTAAGAGTTGAGGAATGCTTAATACTTATGGTACTCAGGAGATCCCAGGTGGTGGAGAAGTTTGCCCTGTATTAGCCTGTAGATATACTTTTGCTATATTGTGGCCCATAAAGCCTGGCTGTTGATTTGAGTTTCTAGTTCTAACATATTAATAAGTGGGTTTTACTACTTTCCAGACCTCCTTTTATTACTGTGCCTTGGGTATGTGTGAATTTATCTTATTTTATCTTTGTTTCTCTTTAATGAGAAATGTTTAAGCTGTTACTAATTTAGCAATGGTTTTAGCTTGAAAAGTTCTTTCTGCTGGCCAAGTATATCAGAATAGTGAGTTCTTTTTTTAAGTTGGCGTGTTTCCCCTACAGAAATACACTACTTTTTTTTTTTTTTTAAATGAAATACACTCACAGTATTAATACACATTAGATAAGCTTGCACTTACAAAAGCAGTAATGGCTAAACATTTTTATATCTGGGGAGAGAGGGAGAAATTTACATGACAATGCATAATTATTTTGTTTTTTCAATGTGAAAACAACTACTGATGCATCTATTTCTCTGGAATAGAAAATAACCACAGGCCATTGCCATTATTCAAGCCATCTACAAAGTTGGCTTAACTGGGGAGCAGAATAAAGCTTATTTTGAACGCTAATTATTCACTTTGAATTTTTTTTTTTGCAAGTTGTTATGCGTACCATGTAAGTATTTGTCATCAGTTTCTTTGCTGTTTCTTATCAGTGAAGCCTAAGGATACATTTTTGCTGAAATTACATGCATATTTTTCTACATCTCTTTCTTGTTCTCTTGTTTCTTACTCTAAGGAATGTTACTGCCATAGCTAATGATGCCTTCTGGATTTTCACAGTGCTTGGCATTACTCTTAAAATCTTGAACAGAGGCTGTAATCTGTTCTAGTGTTTTTGTCCTCTTCTGTCACACAGAGTTGGCACTCCTTTCTTACCCATAAGGAGCTAACGCATGAGCTACTTCATTAGTTGTGCTGTCACATGAACTCAGTGGACCATGTAGCCTGATCACTCAAGATGAGTTCTCTGTGTGATCTTGTCAGAATTTGCCTGCTTAGTGAGCAGTTGACTTCTGTTCAGGTTGGGAGTCAGCACTGATGTAAGGTAGAGACTTAAAGTCAAGGATTTGCTGGAGTCATGGATTTGAAGTTAAAGTGGCTACTGATATTATACTCTACAGTGTTTTTGATGTGGCTACAGATGTAATCAAGCTACAGGTGGGAATGCTGTTGAGAATTGTCAAAACAATATAGTGCAGATCAATTGCCTCTGTAATGATGCATCTGTTGACAGAGGAACTGTAGCTTGCTGTTATGGGCTAACCTTCGTAGGCAGCTAATATCATACATCTGCATTCTTGCTTTGTGTGTCCAGAGGGATGGGGAAAGAATTGGAAAGGTAAAAGTTCAAGGAAAAAACAGCTCTCATGGGTTGAGACCAAGACAGTTTAATAGGTAAAGCAAAAGCTGTGTCTGCAAGGAAGGCAAAATAAGGAATTTATTCATTGCCCTCTTTGCCTTCAAGCTGCTATGGAGAAAACTAACTCTGTCCCAGCCAAAACCAGTTAGGACACTGTTGCAGAAGGGTTCTTTCTGCAGTGTCACAAAGAAAAAAAGTATCTCTGAAGCTTATTTTGCTTTGCAGAATGGGGTCTAGAACCTAAATTCCTCAAGCGGTAGGTAGTGCTTTAACCACTGCACTGTTAGGCTTCTGAGTTATGTAGATGAAGTCCTTTTAGAAAGGCATGATGTTCAGTTTACAAGTTCTAATGCAAGTACTGGTGCTTAAGACCATTTTATTGAAGTCTGACTTCCTCAATCTCCTTTGCACATGTACAGGCTTGCCAGCATAATAGCCAATTCTTGAACATGTTGACAGAGCTATGCTTCTTGGCTGACTATACAATGAAAAGCTTTTGCCCCCTCACCAACTTGTCATCGTAATCACTCTGAATGGATTCTTATTTAAGCTCTTCCTTTTGTATTTGCTCTAAACTGAGTATTATTTGGGATCTGATTCTGCTGGCTAAGTGGTTTCTGCTCTTAAGCTGTCATGTTCTTTCTGATTTTTCTGCCTTGAGGAATAATTATTAGTTGTAGAAGGGGATCATCAGTGGTTGGGATAGATGCTTTTGCATGATTTGGTCTTCCTGTAGTCAGACTGCTTTAAAGTTAATCTGCAGTACAGTGTAAGACATCAAGAAAGCTCTTTGTACTCAGTTTAGAGTTAATCTTCCTGACTTTACGGTGTGTGGTTCTCTACTGCCCCAGTGTGACCGTAAAGCTGGCTGCTATCTGTGAGTATTAGGGCTGCATGGGTTGGTTGTAGGTCCTGGTAGTTGCCAGGAATGGGCTGCAGACCTGCTGAAGTGATCCAAAAATAAAATTAACTGCATGCTGATCCCTTAATACCAAATAGTTTGGGTTTAGATCAGTGTATCTAGTGTGGCCTGCTGTTTCTATTTGCTTCCAACTTGCTTTCGGAGGCTTTCATGGGAACTACCCATATACATGCAGATTAAACATGCGGATTCAGTTATCTAAACACAGGCATTTAGAGCCCTATCTGCTTCCTAGGTGCTGCACTAGAAGACTACAAGTCTCTTGTAGGTGTTGCCCATCCTTGGGTACATCCTAGGGTTTCTCAGCACCATGTCTTCATGAAGTGGCTAAGCCTGTCTCACGTGCTTTGTGTCTTTTTTTTCCTTTCAGCTGAATGTACATGTCTTCTTTCAAAAGCAATCACTTAGAAGATATCAGTTTTTCATTCTAGCAGTCACAGTTGATGTTCTCAGAAAGGTATTTCAGTTGTAAAGAAGTTGTATTGCATCTCCCATTTCCTTCTGGTGTGTTGTATTACACCCAAGTGACACCTGCACACAAGAATGTTGGAGTGGTTTTTATAGACTTTTATTAGTGTGTAAGCACATCCATGGTGCATATAAAACTGTAACAGTTGATTTAATTTGAACAAATGATATTTTATTTTTCAGTATGTGATTAAAAAGGCATTTCCACCTTGTGAATGGTGCATCAGGGGTGTAGTAACCAGGAAAAAAAATACTATATTGAATACTTAAGACAAAATGAAAGTTTAAGAAAAGATTAACTGACCAATGCCTTTTTTCCTGCAACAGTCCTACAAATCCTTTGTAAACTTCAGTTCACTGAGATTTAAATTGTCTGAACTACTGGAACTCACTTTCTTGGAAGATTCTTCATGAATTGCTCTGAGTTTATAACAAAACTTCTCAAAAACATTTCATGATAAAAGTTCTGGAGTACTTTTAACATGAATCTATACATTGGAGACAAGGCAGTTGTGCTTTCATCATCATCCAGAGGAGTGGGTGTGTGTGACCTTGACACTAAGAGTAGATTTAAACAGTGCTAAATATCATCCTCCCTCCCCTTGCTGCAGTGCAATTTTAAGCGTGTTTATTCACTGGCTTTTCCATTGAGATCTCCATCTCTTCCATCAATTTCTTGTTCACCTCCATCTGTTGCATTCTCAATTACTCTTCTGCCTCCAGATCTACGTGGTGGGGCAAAAGATACTGGTTCATTTCCTCTCCTGCAATAACAAAATAAAATCAGACGTTAGGTCATTTACAGCCCTCATAAATAATCATAGAGTTTTGTAACAGTACCTGTGGGTCTGAGGTTTTTAAAACAAAAACAGCCAAGAGCTGTGGGCACCTAACATAGTTGTCTTCTCTGTAGCATCTGAAGCTAATATGTGGACAGATTGAGACTCCCACTTGCTTGGAACTGTGATGGGATTCCTGTTCTTGTCCTTGAAGTCTATTCTAAATTGATTCATCTGCTCCAAATGCCCTAAATTCCTTTCTATGTTTTTTTTCCCCTCTGGGATTACAACTGAATGTCCTTAGAAGGGATTGGGAAAAAGGAATTGCTTATCCCCCACATCATCAGTGGAGCACTGATCCTGCATTTCTCAAAGATCAAGAAGACATAGAAAGCTCATGCTGAATTTTTAGTCTGAATAAGCTCACCAGTTACAGAAGACTAGTGAGGCCAGAGACTGGAGCAGTGCTGTAGATGTCAGTGGGTGTTTTCTGATCCCACAGTCAGGCTGTGTTGCTCAGAGTACCACAGGTGCTGTGACGTGGTGCTCTAGGCTGTGAGTAGCTCCAGCCTTTTCCACAATGGGGAGGAAGCCATCACTGTGTTTTGGAACTGTTATAATTCAAGTGCTGACGCTCAGTAGAGACAATGTGTGATAGAAAAGCTCACAGAAAATGTTTTTTTCCCATGTTACCCCTTTTCTTTTCCCTTTTCCCTCCCATCCCCGTAGATTTCATAGCTACAGCCCAAGCCAGGGACACTTTGGTCCTCAAGGTTAATATCTTTGGGAGGTGTGAGCAAGTGAGACAGAAGATGAGTATGTCTCATCTTGGCCTTCATTGCTTGTGTGCTACAAAACATTGGAGTTTTGTAACATGGCCTCTCACTTGCTCTTAATTAAGCAAACCTTTGTAAAGGCTTGAGACCACAGACATAAGCAACAAAATAAATTCATGATCACTGAATGTTATGCCAAAATGACTAATTTGGTATTAAAATGTATCCAACTCTGCACTTTTGGGTACAGCAATCATGTGTAAATATTTAAAGGCTTGTCTTGTCCTTGCAAAAGACTAAGCCAGAGTTGTCCTTTCTGCAGCAGCTATTCAAGTTCAAAGTTCTGTCTTCCATATTAGGAAGCAGATAAGAATGTTGGCTGGCCTAAATTATTTTAGGGTACAAACCAAACCTGTGTTTCCAAGATAGAACACATTGCATACATATATAGTTCTTGTTTTGTTTTTCCAACCCTTTATGGTAACTTAATTTTGATGTGAACAAGCAACTTGCTGGATAATAACACTTAAGATCTACTCTTAGCCTTAGTTCTTCTGAGGCATGTATTAGAAGACTTTAAGATAAGGGTATGTTTCTACTCTGTTGTGTTTGACAGATTAAACCAGCAGCATCTACTATTTCATGATGGCAGGTATTTGTTACTAAGCTCTGGTTAGGTCAATACATTTGTTTGATCTTGTCAATGAAGATCTCTGTCTTCATCAGGAAGAGCTCTTTGGATCCCTTCCCTCCTTGGGCTCTTGCTATCTAGACTTACATACAAGGCATTTGTCAAATGGCTTTTTACACTCTTGTAGTTCATTGGAGTACTATAAAAGAACACGTTACTGGTGGAGAGTAACAGTGTAACCAAGTCTTGCAGTACAGTTTTGGCTACAAAGAAAGTGAACTTCCTTCAAATTGGTATTGGTCCCATTTATAAATAATTTTTAAATCTGTTAATCTAAAACAGGTTTATGGCTTTGATAATATTCCTGTGATCATCTGCATCAGTACTTTTAGAGTAATGCATACAGCTGAGGCAAGGCCTAAGCATTAGTGTTTTGCTTAGCATCTATTTAGTCTACCTTTGAACAAGTGCTACTGGAGTGATGCTTCAATCACGCTCTGGGAAAATTAGGCTGACTAAAAGGCACATGCAAGGACAAGACAGCTTCTTTAAATATTTGTGTATTCACAGCGAAATTCAGCATATGTAAAATAGAAGATATACAAATATTACAAGGCAGTAGCTCTTTAATTTTTGCAACAGCAGGTGTCATTCCTACTTCTACAGAATGTGATGAGGTGTGATGTAATGCTGTGCTGTATTACAGTGTTCATGTTAATTTCTGTCTGTGCTTTATGTTTCAGTAGCAGTAGACAAGCAACACGCTGTAGACAAGCAAGGTAATGTCTGCAAAATAGTTTTAAAAGCCTTAGTAATAGCTGTTTGTAAGCAACCACAGGCACAGTGCTATGTAACAAAAGGCACAATTTCCTTTTATTCATGATTGGATGGCATAAATGTGTAATAAACCACATGCAAACAAGGTATTCTAAAATCTTGTGAATTAGGTAGGGTCTTACCTTAGACTCAACATTACAGTATGCTTAAGAAATAATGTGAAACACTTAACATGCTGTGACACTTCATGTTCATTAGTGCTTTAAATCAATTTTACTAATTAATAGTGTATTTGATTTGCAAATTTTTCATCTTTGGCTGTAAATAGGTGCAAAAAAAAAAAAAAGACAATTGACATGCAGAAAATGTCAGAGTACTTTATTGAGTACTCTGTTGGTAGAGCTTATAAGAAGTGAGAATGCAACACTGGTAAGTCTACGTCAGTACGTAGCCTGCTTGTAAAAAAAGTTGTATTGCTGATGAACAGCTGATGATAGCTAAATTATTGTAATATTTGTTTCTTTTTAAAAAAAATTAATGCCAAGATATCCAAGCCTTCACAGTTTGCAGAAACCTCACATAATTTTTACTTGGGCCAAAGAAAATGGAATTTGTACGACACAAGCTAGCTGCAAAGTTGAAGGCATGGTACCTGCTTAGTCATGCGAAGGTTCCTGTGTCCCTCTGAAACAGAGATAAAGAATCCCGGGCAGTTATACTAAGCACACAGTCATGATCAGAGGTAGGTATATTACTTTTAAATAATTAAACAAAGTACATTACTGCCAATTACAGTACATTCAGGTCAAACAAAAAAATAATCTGCTATTCAATGTAAATATCCTTTTCTATGTAAAAAAGGCTGAATGCAGCAGCTATTTTGTAACACAGCCAGTAGTGTGTACCAACCAAGGTGGTACTAACAGAGAAGGCTACTACATCCCTAACTCTTTGCTTTGAAGTATCTATGTCTGAAGTTGCATGCATGTCAATGGAAAAACTCAACTACAGCAGCAAGAACACAACTAGGCAGGTGCTTTAGTTTCATTGGAATTACTTTTTGTTTTTAGGTAGAAAGCAGAGTTCTACAGTTTGATGATGCAGATACAGAAATTTCCTATGAATCAAGTCAGCCTGTGTTTCTGTCTTAGTGTTTTCAGACCCAACAAGTGCAGGAAAACTCAGGTATGTGTCTGACTGCTCACAGCTTTATCTTTTTCCCAGTCAGTTTTAATAAGGAAAATGCAAAATAATATTTTGGTCTTTCCTTGGTCTGATGACCCTATGTAAGGAAAGGTGAGGTTCAGAAACCTTTGAATGAGAGTAGTATAACCTGCTTTGCCTTTTGCTGTCTGTGAAAATGCACAAGACTTATCACAGTCATTACATATGAGCTGTGTGTGTGTGTAAGTATGAAAAGCATGACCATTTCTACCCATTTGTAACTGTAGAAATTTATATGGCCACGGGAGTATTTTCAAAAGCAACCAAGCCTAATTCTGTTCCTATTTAAGTCAACAGCAGTTTTGGATAGAAAAATAGTAAGGCCTGTGCCATGTTGTCACAGTTGTTGATCTCTCAGCTAAAATCCTGAGACTACTGCAGTCCGTGATATGCACTTCACCTTCTGACTTTGGCGTCTTGTTGCATTTGCCAAGCTAACACTGCAAAGTTACTCCTTGTGTTCATTATCTGTGCCTGTTTGTTACTTGAACAGATTATTTTATTTTTTACTTCCTTAGTTTAATGCTAAATTTTCAATTTTTCCTCCAACAATGGCACTCTACCTTAGCTTGCTCTTCAGTGCTGCAACCTCCCGGCCCAGGGCGTCGTTGCTCTCAGTAGCTTCATCCAGCTCCCTCTGCAGCTTCCTGCGGTTTGCATTGATACGTTGAGACTCCTCCTCAGCCTCCTCCAGCTGCCTTTTCAGCTGCTTGAGTCGTAGGTTGCCCTTCTCAGCCTACAAGACAAAATTAAAGTAATTCTTCAAGTTGAAATACATCTGATAGCTTTAGATTCTCATTTAAATTTCATATTTCTATTCATATTTCTATTGAGAGTTTTCTCCTCTATCAAAGGCAAAACTTAAAATCTAAAAACGTAAATATAACTACTTTGTGGGATTTCAATTTGCTGATGCAAACTTAATTCTTTATTTTGCTACACAGTCCTCACTCTGCATTTCTGGTTTGCAGGTTGATACGTGTTATGTAAAGTTAAATATCTCAATAGGGTACAAAATGTGATCATGGTCTCCATTTGTGTACCAAAAGGGATGTTGTGCAGAGTCCTATATATCACAGTGTATAGTCAGACTGTTGGTCTATTGACAAGGGCTAGTGCTTTGGCACTTCTCTCAGCATGGAAGAAAAATCAAATTGTCACATCTTTTAGCAAAAGGCTTTATAGCTGTCCTAGCACAGACCCTTCTTGAGGTATAACACGGAATCTTGCTTTTTTAGGAAAGGCAGAAATCTGAAAACTTTTAGTAAAACTCAAAAATGTCTGTGCCCTTGGCTAACACCTTTATGATGCAGACTCATACCTGATCTCTGTATTGCTCTGCTTGTTTTTTCTCATCCTCCACTTGCAGCAATGCATCCTTCAACTTCTTGTCCTTCTGGCGTAATGTCTTGGCTGCAGCCTGCTTCTCTCTGCAAATGACAGTGCAACATTTGGTGATGTGGCTTGATGTGGCACCAAGGAACCATATGGTAGAGGCCTATCTGAATGTAACAGATGAATTCTAAGCAAGATGTAAATGTCTTTGATTAAAAACAAAAAAAAAAAAAAACAGTGTGTTTTTGCTGCATGATAAGTTCCTGAGGGGATAAGGAGATCTAAAACACAAATTGACTTCCTCAGGAAATAGTCCTACAAATGGCACAGTGTATGATAGAGAGTCTGCTAGGGTCACGTGGTAAAGTAAGGGGGCAGATTCTTACCATTACCAATAGAACTTTTCAGCAATAAAATGGTTTTTTACTCAGAGTCTGTAATAACTCCAATTTTAGTGGCTGTGTCTCTAAGGAATGTTATGTGGGGAGAGAATTTACCAAACATTAATGGTTCTGAGAACCTGATTACACAAATATATATGCATTTGTTTACTTTGTTTCATTAACTGGAACAATAAATGGATGTCTGTGCCCTCTGCAAGCCTAAGTACCTGGCCTCCTGTTCCAATTGCTCTTCGAGAGAAGCAATTTTGGCCTCCAGAGCAGCAATTGTGCTTTTGAATTTAGACTTCACGGCTCCCTCCATCTCTTGCAGTTTACTCCTCAGCTCCTTGTTCTGCCTCTCCAATTGCTGCCTGGCATTTTCATTCTTCTGTGCGGTTGCTCGTTCTGTTGCCAGCTCATTGTTCAGTTGCTCTGCCTGCAAGGGCAAGAATGGATGTTGTCAGAAACATTGTGTACTTTCAGGGAAAATCAGGTGGTGATTCATGGTGGCAGTTCTCCAAATATATTTTCAAAGCCACAGATAACTTTCACTGGAATACAGACAAAGTGACACACGTGCTGTAATGAGCTCTACCTGCTGCACCGCTTTCCTCATGCGATCACTCATTGTCTCTATGTTGCTGTGCTCTTCATCTAGCTCTTCCTCCAGCTGGGCAATTCTTGCCTCTAGGCGCCGTTTCTCATCCTGTAGGATTGTTCTGTAAGTTTAAATTTAAGAAGTGTACAGTTATGGCTCTGACCAATTGAACACACATAAAGCTATTAGGAACTACCTATGATTCACCAGGAAAAGAAAATCAGATAGCGAAACCATTCAGATGCATACATGTTGTATTGTTAAGACTGGATATCTGTTGGGACAGGAATACACCTTCTTTTGGGAACCGTGCAATTTTCAGCAGCATGCTTATAGCTCTGTGAATAATCCAATCTATTCTTACCTTCCAGAAGCAGCACTTGCAAGTTCCTCTGCCATCTCTTCTTTCTCCAGATCTGCTTGTTTGCGAGCTCTCTCTGCAGCAGCCAGATCCTAGGAGTGAAGAAAAATGCAGCATAGCAAAGAAATGAGCAAGTGTTCTCACAAAGTTGCACAACTATGAACTCTGAAAAACTGGTGTAAGCTTTGTTGTCTGATTAATGGAATAAACTCTTAAATCATAAATGTCTGGGAAGAATGTCTAGCTATTGAGAACAATTTGTATTGGATCGTAGAGTTGATTTCCCTTTAAACCCAAATTGTGCTTTCCTCCAAGGTGAGCTTGACCTGGCTATGCTCAGATGTATATTCAACAACGCCACTGGAGAGCATGAAACATATTACAAATTTTGTTTTTAATTTTCCATCTCTAGCTATTATATCAATGCAGTTCTGTCTAGCTACTGAAGATCTTGTGTATTCTGTGTAATACTGCTTTAAAAGTTTTCCATTTTACCTCTTGAAGCTGGATGAGTTCAGCTTCAAGGTTCTTGGCTTTCTTCTCATTTTCTCTGGCTGTAGCGAATATTTCTTCTCTGGCAGCCCGTGCATCATCCAGGTCTCGTTGGTAGTCCTTCATCTGAGCCTTGTTGAAAAGAATAACGAAGGTTTATTTTTGTCCAGTTTTACAACAACATCAATGCAAAGAAATGTGCACATAATAGGACACAAGCATAGTAGAATCACAAAGCTTTTGTGTATTTTCTGTAGAGATCAGCTAGCATATGCTGAGAGACTCTTAATTATTCTAAAGAGAGTGATGCTTCCACTTGTGTGCTGTAGTTTTTGTAATGCCTATTGACCTTATTTCCCTTGCATGTTTGCGAGTGTGCCATCTTAATCTTTATGAATATTCCAATTCTTTGTTTATCTGTCAGCATATGACAAAAGAGTAAAAAAAACTGGATTTGTGGGTTTTACATACCTGTAGTTTGCGAAGTTGTTTGATGGCTTCTTCCCGAGCTTTGTTAGCAGAATCAACTTGGCTTTCTAGATCTTTGACATCAACCTCCAACTTCTTTTTGGCTGCAGCTGCCAGGGCGCGTTGCTTCCGCTCATCTTCCAGTTCCGTTTCATGTTCGTGGAGCTGATTGTTAGAGAAGACACGTATAGAAAGCATTCTTCAATACTCTTAAACACTGTGTAAGTCTGGATAACCTGCATAATCTGTGTCTGTTAACTGTGGTATTACTAGAAGTTAAAATGCATTTCCATTTTCAAAAATTGAAGATTCTCCAAAGGAGTCGGCATTATGGGCCTGTACTTTTGGAAATAAGATGACTATGGGATTTCTCCTTGCTGTAACAGTGCTACTGTACAAATAGGCTCTGTCCTGTCTGTTTGCCTTTCCAATACTTTGGTATCTATTTCATGTACTTTAGGAAGGCAGACATGTCAGAAACTGTCTTATTTCACTTGCTCTAAGAACACAGGAAAAGTATTTACTGTGCTAGGGAAAATAATTCACGTGTTTTCTACTGTATTGACTGTAGTGTTGACTTGCTACATCTGTTAGCAACTGTGTGCTACTGAAATGCAAAATATAATACTGTTATGCTATCTTTATATATATAATGCTTTCTTATTATAGTGAAGTGCTTTACTAATGGCATGAGCCTGGGAACATTCAGGTTTTTTGGTTTTGTTACTGTGTTTGTAATAGTAAAATGATACCTGTTTAAGGAGTTGTCTCCTCTTCTCCTCATTCTGTTCATCTCTGGCTTGTAAATCTCTTTCAAACTGGCTTTTCATGGCTTGCATATTAACTTCCAACCGAAGTTTGGCATCTTCAGCAGCCTGTAACTCATCCTCTAACTCTTCTAATTGTGTCTTCATTTCTTCTACTTGCTGTTCAAGTGTCCGTTTAGACTTCTCCAATTCATGGACCTTTTAAGCAATGAAATAGATTTGTTATACAAAAATAAATCCAGTTAAACCCAGCTTATTTTCTATTTAGGTCACATCTGAAAATATCAGCTGCAGACAGTGAATGAGCTAATTTGAGTTAATTGCATTTTTTGTATACTTAGTCTCCCTTGAAACAACCTGAGATTCTTTACACTTTATTATGTACTGATTTTAATCAGTCAAGTATCAGCAGTGAATTTAGTTAGTTCGTATTAGAAGTGATATTATCACTGTAATAAAAGAAGTGATTGGTAATGTAACAGTGGAAATTTGCTGCAGCTATACAAGTACATGTTAAGCTGGTGGTAAGGTCACATCACTAAAACGAGACCTGCAGA